TATAAAAAATATACAAGAACTAAAGGATCCCACCTAAGCACAGCTGGTACAGTGGAGTGGACCCAGGAGGAACTCTGAACCTCAGACAGCATCAAACAACACTAACAAGATTTAGAACAGACCATCTCAAGCAATTGAAGAGAGAGATAGAAAATAACAATAAAATCTACCCCACTTGTTCAAAATGTAGCTTGGCACCTGCAGCTCCAGAACACATTTTGGCTTGCATTAGATGTACTAAACAGGATCTTTGGGAGAGGCTGCTGCTTATCATCAAACAGTTCGAGGAACATGGACTCATGGAATTTGTGTAATATTTGCATAAGGGGATAAGAAAAACAACAACAAAGACACCTAGTTGCAGAGCCAAAGAGTTTGTTAAGGAGATTTTTTTCTTCTTCTTAATGGATAAATGCTAAATAGTGAAACTGTTGGTGATGAAAACTGTCCTTTGTTAAGCGATTACTCTACCAAGAGAGTCCTCTCTTGGATACTCCATCATACCATGAATATCATGGAATTTGTGTAATATTTGCACAGGGGGATAAGAAAAACAGCAACAAAGATACCTAGTTGCAAGTGTTTGTTAAGGAGAAAGTTGTCTTCATCTTTTTTTTTTAACGGAGAAATGCTAAATAGTAAAACTGTTGGTGATGAAAACTGTCCTTTGTAAAGAGATATTAGTATAGTACACGCTATTCGTGTACTTTGTCTACTCAGGATGCCACAAAGACACACACGTGAGTTCGAAGGGATTGCAGCTAAAGTTATCGCTTTATTGTATCTCACTTAATAGAAGGAATACAACAGTGGGACTTGTCGCCGTGGACGTCCTCTTGTGAAGTGTTCCGCTCCAGACTATACACATGCAGCCTGGCCCACACCGCCTTGTAGGTCACTCCGATGTCAGTCTCTCCTGGCACCCCGCTAGAGTTCACCCCTCTTTCCCCAACTTTACTCTAGTATCTTGGCCTTGTCATCCATGTAACACTGCCCCCTTCCCAATCCTTTTCGTCCCGAAAAGGACTGATTTCACCAGCGGCGCTGATCGGCGGCCCTTTGATCTCCCCGACGTCTCTGACCACATGAAGCTCGTCTTGACTTAAGTGAAGATTTGGTGTGTGTGGGGGAACATTTGTACTTCTGGTGCAGCTCATGTTGTGACCATAAAATTGGCCTAGCCACTTGGCATGTAAACAATGATCATTTATTCTTATTCGTATCGTTTTACAAAAAAAAAAAAAATATATATATATATTTCTCTCGTTTGCAACTGTTGGAAAAGAAAAGGTTCGAAACAGCCAATGGGAGGCCGACGGAAGGGGCTGGGGATGCAGCGGTTGAAATCAGAAGAACAATAACAGAAGAACTTATAAATAACTTTTTCGAACGCGAGAATTTGCCCTGATCCCCGATTCTTTTAGTGTAAATTTTTAAATATATAATTAATTAAATAATACTTTATTTATTCTCTTAATTTATAATAAATATAATTTTCTCTCCTGTTTTCGTCGTATATTTTAAAAGTGTTATAAACAGCGACACCACAATTTTGAACCTTCAACCCCGCCGACCAAGAATAGAGGTGAGCGACTCCCTCTATAGAACTTAGATCGTCGTCACAACACAGAGTGGCGGTGAAATCGCAATAGCAACAATTAATCTATGTGAACTCTACACGCCACGCCTTTCTAGAGTAGTTTATGCTACACATGGTTATATCTTTTTTAAATAAGGCTTATTTTGGATTATAATATGATTCTTTATTAATCCTGTTTTAATGTCCATCCATACAGAGTTCAAAACAACCACTACTCCCCCGTGCAGGCACGGTCACGCTCCGCCGCGTCACGTGGGAAAACATACGTACATGTTCTCGTACATGTTCTCAGCACATCCCCCTTTTTAAGATTTGAAATATATATATACATTACAAACTTTAAATGCATAATATAATTAATAATGAAGGCGATCCACAGGTTTAACAATTCGTCCACTCCGGGTTCTTATCTGGCCGTCTTCTGAGTCGTTAGAGGGATAATCCACAACTGGGGTCTTCTCATTTTCAACCAGGTCCTCCCCCGAAAAGGTCGGCGTCGATGGGTCGGCTGGATATTGCACTGTAACTCCTTTTCGTAGATGGAACCTGTTTCGACGTAAAGTCCCAACTGGAGTATCAACCACTACTCCCCCGTGCAGGCACGGTCACGCTCCGCCGCGTCACGTGGGAAAACATACGTACATGTTCTCGTACATGTTCTCAGCACAAATCCAATATTTCGATGGACCAATCGTCCATCTTTTACGAGTTTTTTTTTTGTTTTTCTCGTAAAAGATAGAGGAAATATTGGATTAATAAAAAATCGTATTATAATACAAAATAAGCCTTATTTTAAAAATATAGTAATTGTGTAGAAATGTCTGGTAATCGTTTCACAAAACGCTGATACGAAATTCAGTAGTATAATTCGCAGTGATGATTCTTTTGTGAGCTGTTGCAAGGATTTAAATCAGATCACTAAATAGCAGAAAGGAGAGGGTAAAAGTCTCTTTCAAACTAACTTTATTTAAAACATGTTAAGAGGACAGAAGAAAACACCAAAACTAGTCAGCAGACCAGGCCATGCTCTGATCCTTTGTTGGCGGATGGCGTCGCTGGGGCTTGTTTGTTTGCTGTCACCCGAGCCGTCGTTTTGCCGACGTCCCGAAGTAGATCTCCATTATTCCACAGATATTATGGATTGCTCTATATTCAGAATGGTTATATTATATGTATTATAATTTTATAATCATCAGTATACTTTAGTAAATTAAATTTAATTGCCATCTATATCGTTAAAATTTTACACAAATAAATTTACTGGCAATGCGTTTCTTTTAAATATCATCAAATATTATCTTCTTTAATTATTCTTTAAGTCCTTAAGTTATCTAATTCAACAATTTAAAACGTTAAAAACATGAATAAAAGGGGGAAAGGAAAATATAAAGTATACATAATAGATTTATTAAGACCCCATGATCTCATGGATCGTGAACTCGAAGAGAATGAACTCATGGAATTTGGGTAATCTTTGCACAAGGGGATAAGAAACAACAACAGACTCCATGATAGTAGAGAAACAATCAGCTTGTGAATTAAACAAACACCAAATAAACATTAAATAAAAGGAGATAGCGCGCCATCTGTTAATGAAATTTGAAACTATTTAGGAGTGGAATTTTATTTGTACAAACTGTTCTTAAAATTACTTGAAAACTTTCTCCATAGATTGTATAAACGATAAGGAAGAGTAAGGAGAAAAGATTTTTATTTAAATAAACTTGTGACAAGCTTTCGGGCAGTCACGCCCTTCAACAGGTAACTAATATAAAAAAGAACAATTGACTATCAAATAGAAAACAAACTGGCTGCAGTTGTATCATTTTTGTTTAAAGCTCAGTTTGTTTTCTATTTGATAGTCAATTGTTCTTTTTTATATTAGTTACCTGTTGAAGGGCGTGACTGCCCGAAAGCTTGTCACAAGTTTATTTAAATAAAAATCTTTTCTCCTTACTCTTCCTTATCGTTTATACAAACTGTCCTTACCGCAATGAAAAATATTGGGAGGGCCTGGCTCATCAGTGTTGAACCCTTCCAGTAGTTTCGCTACAGAATAGCCCATTACATTATTACAGCTGTATGATTGATTAAACTGGCGAAATCGCTAGGAGGGTTTTCAATCGATGAGTCAAGTCCTTCCAATATATATATATATTTCACTGCAGAAAATACAATAGGATAGATCGTTTTATTTTGTATAAGTAAAATCCCGTTCAAAATTGTTTCAGATTTTCTATAAACACATTATAAAAGAGGATATACTATTGTCGCGGCTGGGTCCCTCCGGTTCTTTGCGACGATGCGCTTCTTCAGCCGTGGATCACCTGCCCGGACTCCCGTTGCTTTTCTCTGCAGGCCACCCGAAGACACCGAGAAGAGCAGCAGCGACGATGATGGCGAGAGGAACGACAGCAGGCGGCACAGGACTTCAAACACTAACCTTTATTGTCATCCACTAATAAAAATTACATTTAAATGGGATAATAAACAATGGGTATTCACATTATGTTACATCCTGGGGCCAACATAAAAGTGTATTTACAATCATTTTCCCCAGGAAACAAGACCACAGCAGTCGGCGATTCCCACATCAGTTTCAGAAGCGAAACAGGCGAAAGCGCCATCTATTGGCGGAGGTTGTAGTCATTTGGAGGCCTTAAACGCGATACTATAGTACATATGTGATGCATTAGCGTGCCATCTGTTATAAATAATTGAAACTATTTAACACGCGTATGTTTCTTCTTAAAATTGAACAATTTCTACCGTCTTTATTGGAATAGGAAATTAATGGGAGGGCCTGGCTCATTAGTGGTGAACCTTCCCATTAATATATCATTATAGTAAGGACAGTAAAAATTGTTTAAATATCAAAAAGAATTTGAAATTAAACAATTTCTACCTTCCTTACCGAAATAGGAAACTAATGGGAGGGTCTGGATCATTAATGGTGAACCTTCCCATTAATTTTTCATTGCAGAAAGAGCAGTAGAAATTGTATAATTTTAAAAAGACGTGTCCTTATGCATACCTCTGGTGAATCCTGTATAGGGTCAGTGACCCTAAATAAAGGCTTTTTTGTTGTTGTTGTTGTTGTAAAAAGACGTGTCTAAAATAGTTTAAATTTTGTATATTAAATTTAGAGAAGGGGGATAGATGTCAGCTACAGGCAGAAGAAAGATCAAGTCATCAGCAGAAATGTCCCAACAACAACAATCACAGCCTGCCTCCATATGGAATTATTCGCGACCAGGTCCATTTAGGTATTTCCCTCGAGACCTCATCTCTTAATCCTCCCTGCAGTCGAGGTGAGTGATAGCAGAGCGGATCATTTTGTCGTCACAGCCTTTTTTGTAGGCTTGCTTAATACTCCTTGATTCCACATCTTTGCTACGGGGTCGGTGGTGTAGTGGTATAGAACGTCGACTTTCGATAGCTACGATCCGGGTTCGAATCCCGCATTGGACACTTTTTTTCCTGAAGGAAGAAAAATTGTTTCAATGGTCCCGATTCTTGAAGAAGTCCAAACCTCACCAGTGAATGAGTGCAAGTAACTAAAACTAAATCTCTGACTGTACTGTGTTTATATTTAACGTCAATAGCACTTTTTCTCGCCAAGTATCCTGACCATGCAAGAACTACAGTAGAGAGACTTTGCGCAGAGGCGATATCGTAGCATGAGAATCTTCCGAGGCGCGATTATTTCTGGTTGAAAACTTTACCCAATACAGTAGAGAGACTCATTTTAACTCTAGGGTTTCAATAATTGAAACATGTAATATCAATTAGAAATATAGACAACACATAAACCATTAAAATTTATTGTCGGAGATTGCAACGATCTACTGTGGCCCTTTTCAAGGTAGTAAGCTTAAGGTGCGAAGTTGGGTTCTGGTATTAAGTATTATACCTTGAAAATGGGGTAACAGTGAGCCTCCGAAACATCTGATAATACATTTTAAAGTTTGATGTGTTATATCTAACTCTAATTGATCATAAGCTGCCAATCTACAATACTGATATTCTCTAAAATATGTAAAATAATATAAATATCAATAAAGAGATTGAAACAATTTATGTTGATGAATAGAACATTCGTCCACTTTGGGACTTTACTGAATGACTTTTTGTGGAGACCTTCTATCACCATTTTCAAGGTTAAAAACTAATTTCTTAATTGAATAATAAAAATTAAAGCAGAAGCGAATAAGAGGATGACCGAATAAACGATATTCTACTGTTCCATCAGCGTCTCTATACAATGCCACTATACCTTAAAATATCTCTTGGGCGAGACTCTTGTTGCAACCCGGACTCCTGCAGCGTACAAATCGCCAACTATCCTTGGGCGAGACTCTTCTCTTGTTTTAAACCGGTCTTCTGGAACGTACAAGTCACCAAATATCCTTGGGCGAGACTCTTCGCTTGTTTTAAATCGGACTTCTGCAGCGTACAAGTCCCCAACTATCCTTGGGCGAGACTCTTCTCTTGTTTTAAACCGGGCTTCTGCAGCGTACAAGTCACCAAATATCCTTGGGCGAGACCCTTCGCTTGTTTTAAACCGGACTTCTGCAGCGTACGAGTCACCAAATATCCTTGGGCGAGACTCTTCGCTTGTTTTAAACCGGACTTCTGCAGCGTACAAGTCGCCAAATATCCTTGGGCGAGACTCTTCTCTTGTTTTAAACCGGACTTCTGGAACGTACGAGTCGCCAACTATCCTTGGGCGAGACTCTTCGCTTTTTTTAAACCGGGCTTCTGGAACGTACAAGTCGCCAACTATCCTTGGGCGAGACTCTTCGCTTGTTTTAAACCGGGCTTCTGGAACGTACAAGTCGCCAACTATCCTTGGGCGAGGCTCTTCTCTTGTTTTAAACCGGACTTCTGGAACGTACAAGTCGCCAACTATCCTTGGGCGAGGCTCTTCTCTTGTTTTAAACCGGGCTTCTGGAACGTACAAATCGCCAACTATCCTTGGGCGAGGTTCTTCCTTTGTTTTAAACCGGGCTTCTGCAGCGTACAAGTCGCCAACTATCCTTGGGCGAGACTCTTCTCTTGTTTTAAACCGGGCTTCTGGAACGTACAAATCGCCAACTATTCTTGGGCGAGGTTCTTCCCTTGTTTTAAATCGGACTTCTTCAGCGTACAAGTCGCCAACTATCCTTGGGCGAGACTCTTCTCTTGTTTTAAACCGGGCTTCTGGAACGTACAAGTCGCCAACTATCCTTGGGCGAGACTCTTCCCTTGTTGTAACCCGGACTTCTGGAACGTACAAGTCGCCAACTATCCTTGGGCGAGGTTCTTCCCTTGTTGTAACCCGGACTTCTGGAACGTACAAGTCACCAACTATCCTTGGGCGAGGTTCTTCCCTTGTTTTAAACCGGACTTCTGCAGCGTACAAGTCGCCAACTATCCTTGGGCGAGGTTCTTCCCTTGTTGTAACCCGGACTTCTGGAACGTACAAGTCACCAACTATCCTTGGGCGAGGTTCTTCCCTTGTTTTAAACCGGACTTCTGCAGCGTACAAGTCGCCAACTATCCTTGGGCGAGGTTCTTCCCTTGTTGTAACCCGGACTTCTGGAACGTACAAGTCACCAACTATCCTTGGGCGAGGTTCTTCCCTTGTTTTAAACCGGACTTCTGCAGCGTGCAAGTCCCCAACTATCCTTGGGCGAGGACGATAATATGAAGATCTTGCCACATTATATCTTCGGCGAAAGGAAAAAAATCTTCATATTCATTATTTTACTGTCTTCAGAGATGAAGAAGATTATTGGTTTCCGACACGATGGATGTTCTTTTCTCTCATGCGATAGCATCTGTAAAACGTACAATGTTGTATTCAGGGTTATATGTTTACAAGGACATATTTTACCGAAAAGAAATTTATCTCTTTAAAAATAGAAGAGGCTCTTCTCTTTTCAAAAATAGACGAAAAAAAACCTCTGGGTCATTTTTGATCATCTCTGGAAAATCTACCAGACTCGGATCGGTGACAGCTTTGGTAAATTCAGAACACCCTCCTGACGACAATGATTTCGATCTTTGTTCCTCGTCAGTCCAGAAAGAGGATGGCTTCAATTTAACCCAATCCACAAGAGCTTTCTGAAAATTTATGAAGTAGCCAAAGTGGTTGGGTCAATCTTATGGTTGAATTTTGATGTCAAGAATTCAAACTGAAAAAGACATCTTCTGTCAAAATGAATGTAAAAAAAAACTATGTGAATTTATGAACCCTTTTCGTTTTAAAATTTATTTTATATATTTTTAAGTGTGCCTAGCAATTACATGGAGGAACACAAGATATGCCTGCTCGAAATTAGAATTTTTAATGTGGTCGTCAAACTCAAACAGCATCAACGGATGACTTATCAATCAAAGAATATCCATGTAGCCATGAAGAACAAAGGATATAACTTTGAGAAAACAAAGCCATTAAACTCAAACAACCAGAAAATGACAGTTGAAGAGTCACTAAGTTGCAGCGCTGTGAAATCAGATTATAGAAGAAGTGAACCAAGATTGTTAAAGATGAGCGTACAACTGTAAGAACATAGCTGTAAGAAACAAAGACAAGAAGGTTAAAGATGTGAAAACAAATACAAGATGGTTGAAGATGTGAGAACAAAGACAAGAAGGTTGAAGATGTGAGAACAAAGACAAGAAGGTTGAAGATGTGAGAACAAAGACAAGAAGGTTGAAGATATGAGAACAAAGACAAGAAGGTTGAAGATGTGAGAACAAAGACAAGAAAGTTGAAGACGTGAGAACAAAGACAAGAAGGTTGAAGATGTGAGAACAAAGACAAGAAGGTTGAAGATGTGAGAACAAAGACAAGAAAGTTGAAGATGTGAGAACAAAGACAAGAAGGTTGAAGATGTGAGAACAAAGACAAGAAGGTTGAAGATGTGAGAATAAAGACAAGAAGGTTAAAGATGTGAGAACAATGACAAGAAGGTTGAAGATGTGAGAACAAAGACAAGAAGGTTGAAGATGTGAGAACAAAGACAAGAAGGTTGAGGATGTGAGAACAAAGACAAGAAAGTTGAAGATATGAGAACAAAGACAAGAAAGTTGAATATGTGAGAACAAAGACAAGAAGGCTGAAAATGTGAGAACAAAGACAATAAGGTTGAATATGTGAGAACAAGGACAAGAAGGTTGAAGATGTGAGAACAAATACAAGAAAGTTAAAGATGTGAGAACAAAGACAAGAAGGTTAAAGATGTAAGAACAAAGACAAGAAGGTTGTGAACAAAGCTGTGAAGAAACATGAAGATTAGAAACACGAGGTAATAAGACCAAACCCAAACGAATAGTATGTTACATTTCGGTAACAACGCTATTACCGAAACGTCACACACTATTTGTTTATTTGAATTTAGTCTTATTACTTTGTATTTCTAATCTATAATTCAAATTGAGTCTTATCAAATATGAAGGTTGAAAACATCAGAACAGAGTTGTGAAAGACAGGAAGGTTGAAGATGTGAAAACAAGAAGCTTGCACAGGAGGAGAGGCGGGGACTGGCTCCCATTGATCCACCGGTCCGTTCCCCAGGCGAGATAGATGGGGAGGGTCCCCGTGGGACTCCTGCCGGATCTATTATCGGACTGTACACATTTGTAGCCGCAGTCTATTCGGACTGACTGATCACAGACATTCCGTTGTACGAGGAAACAACACCTCTCACTTTGTAGATCGAACTCTAATGTAACAAATGGGGTAAGGGACCTCATTAAATACTTCTACTGAGATAAAAATCGGATTTTTGATGATGGCTGGTCTTTCACGATAGGAGGTCTTGTGTATAACCATGGTATTTGACGGTGGAAGATCTTTTATAAGTGTTGGGTCTCTCACTATGAGATATATTTCATGAGAAGTGGTCTTTCACGACGTAAAGGTATTTTATAAACTGTGGTCTTTCATGATGGGTGGTCTTTTATGAGCGGCAATATTTCATGATTGAATATATTTTATGAGTGATGTGGGGTCTTTCACAACTAGAGGCCTTTCATGAACTTTGGTCTTTCACAATGGAAGATATTTTATAAACTGTGGTCTTTCATGATGGGTGGTCTTTAATGAAATTAATATTTGAGTAAAACTCACATATCTCATCCATTTTTACATTTAAAAAAAAGCCTTAAAACCAACATATTTTAATTTAATAAACTTGGTTGATTTCTGAAGTTTCATAATTGCTTTAGTACACATATATTTCCCATATAACGTGTGCAAGATTTCAATGCAGTAGAACTACCTCTTTAAAGGACAACACCTAGTTGCAGAGCCAAAGTGGCCTTTAGGGAGTGGTGTCTTCTTACCTGAGAGTTTCTAATTAGTAAAAATGATAATTCGGGTGATGAAAACTGTCCTTTGTAGAGAGGTGACCTCTATCAAGAATGACCTCTCACGGAGGTTCTCCTGTATAGAATTAACACGCCCTTCCTGCAGTCTGAAG